CACAAAATGTTTCTATTGGATATCTGTCATGGGCTGAAGCTTTACCTCGTTTGACACGAAAGGTTGTGCTCGGTGACTACGTGCCTGTGTGTATGGCTTGGGTACACCATGTTTTTCAGAAACACATGCTGCCTGGACGCGGGGACACAGATCAAGAAGTGACAAGCCTGCAGAATGTAGCCACAACCTGTGAAATTAGCACTAAATCAATACACAAACACACAGCTCCATTTAACGGAGGAAACAATCTCTTCAGCGAACCCCCGAGCTCTCACTTCCCTTTTGTCTTTCCTCCCATGTTCTGCTATATACACGAGTTGATTAAAAGGAGGAATTTCCTCAAACCCCTCCATTCCAGAGGCGCTCTCAGCTGACTTTATTAATTAGCGAGCTCCTTTTTACTCGCCCTCCTCCTCCTCCTCCCCATTCCACTCGTGTCTAATTTTTCTGGCCGTGAAAAGAGCTGGGAACAAAGCAGCGCGGATGAAATGAATTGTTATCCCCGCTAAAGCCTTCAGAAACCTCTCCTGGCCGTCAGATTTTCTCTCAGCGTGTCTGCCTGTCGCCATTGTTCTTTGACACTGTGTGATATGAACGCCACTGGCAGCCCTGATTACATCCCCCCACCCCCCCCCCCCCATACTCCCACTCTCCAATCCATCTCCTGCAGCACTCACTGTATCACAGCCGTAGTTTCTAAATGTATTCAAAAGAACCATTATGGTGGCTTTCAGGGTGTCCACTGGGTCTCTTTTCATGAAAAATAAAGAAATTCATGATCCTTTTATTTAAACATTATAACATAGCTCTTCTCTAATCCCTATCGTCTTTCCCCGTGTCCTTTCAAGTAGGGAAAAGGCGTGTCTAAAGTCATTTACTTTTCTATGACTCCCCACAGTGGAAGCCTCAAGCTGCCCTGTGGCTAAACCGACTGACAGAAGAGAGGAGGGAAGATTAAGAGGACAAAGAAGAAGATGAAAAGTAGCTAACAGGAAGTAAGATTCTCCAGAGACGGGTACGATGTGTAAGGAAAGTCACAGGGTGTTTCTCAATGTCGAGGAAGGCTGCTCCAGAGCCACTATTTCAAGCATACTACGTCATCGAGTGCCGCCGAAGGACTGTTCCAATGTCCAGCATACTTGGAATTCTACCGAGCCCGGCGAACTTCGTTTGGAGACATTTCGAGGCTGCACATGTGTAGACTCCGCGGTCTTAAAATCCCCACAATGCTTTGCGCACGGACCAATTTCCCCAAATCTGTGGCGGAAAATGTAAGGCGGGGCCTCTCGTATGACGCACACCTGCACACTTGCTCGCCCGGTCCACTCTTCGTTTTCCCGAGGCTAGGAAGTATTCTTGCCTCGCTTCTGAAACAAGACGCTCGGAAGACATGTGCTACCAAGCAAGCGTACTCGAGATTAAGAAATACACACGTAGTAAAGGCTACTTTTTTGGTAGCTTCGTTAGCTCCTATACTTTCACCATACGAGGGTTTCAAAGTGAGAAAAAACGTCAAAGAGTGGTGCTGAGATTACGTGTTTTTGTAGTCCGACCCCGAACTTAGTCCCAAAAGACAAATCACAAAGGATTTAAATATCCTTCAACAAGGTATTCTACATCCTTGACCGAATGCCCTGGCCGTTGCACTGAATGAGAGCGTACGTTTGGACTGACAGTTTGATCAACCAATCATATATTGATTTGTAGCCAATGGGCGTGTTCTTTCAGAGTTCCCCTCGGTTCCAAGGTATTCTAGAAGGCCCGCTAGTTAACTGGCTCGAGACAGAGGATCTAGAATGCGACGAAGCCGTTCGAATGCCGTTTTATTGTTTTTAACGTTGAAATGACAAGTGCAACAGGTGAAGATGAAGTTGTTGCGGAATTGTTGCGAGTACCCTTTTCAAGACGACAATTCAGTGAAAAGACGGACATTATAATGCCGCGGCGGGGGGGGGAGTGTGTGTCTACAGAAGGTCCAGTTGTGATAGACACGGTTCGCCACTGCTGAAGTGTAAATCAACATACATCTCTCAAGAGCTAACGTCTATACGACTATAAAGGAACTACAGCACGGTCACATGACTTTGCATCAACACAGCTAAGCTAAAGGAGGCTAGCGTTTTTTCGGTGTGATGATGTTTAGTGGTTTCATTTAGACACTTGTTAGCAACCGCTGTTTTTAAATAATAAGGTATTTACTGACGTATTTTATGTCGTAAAAACTTAATGTGAAAAAATCAAAAACTACAGACCTTATTATCTACCCGAAAACTCATCCAAAAAACCATTGACTTTCAAACAAAGTAACCGGATGAAGTAAAATGCTAACTCATGTCTAGGTTTAAGGACACATTCCTGATAGAGCTATAATCAACCTGATGCCTTTCCTTCTTCTTCTAGCATAATTATTTTAAATATTTATATGTGTTAGGTTAGCATCTCTCGCCGAATGAGGTAGCACGATGGTAATTGATCTTATGATCCTGTTTGTTACAGTATTATGATAGGTGTCTGTTGCGCTATTCCCATGAAAGGCTCTCTGGATCTCTGGGATGTGAGGTCCAAAAATACACCTGCAATTACTTCTTAACGCCAAGGGTGTTTTAGTTGTATTTATCACAGTATTCCCCCGTCCAATGCTTTAAAGTCTTAGTAGGTCACCCAGCTTCGTTAAAAATGTCCAAATGGAAAAGTATCAGATATTGAAGTTGGTAAAGTCCAAAGCCTTTGTAATAAAAATAAAATAAAACCTTGCTTACTCTTGTATTGGCAGCCTTTGGAGAACATGCCAACAGATTAGCTTGCTATTTCAGGTTCATAAGTCATAATCACGGGAGTATTGTGTATAGAAAGTATTGAGTTATATTTCTCGCGCTACCTAACATCCATGAAGGCAACATGACAGAGGGAGGCCTGCCACTCAGGATGCCAAACTACTCTTTGCTAAGCCCCGCCCCCTCAAGCAACATCAGGGCCAAAAGTCTGAAACCTGAAAAAACAAGATTTGAAACTGAAAAAATAATTGTTTTGAATCTGAAAACGAAAAATCTACAACTGAAAAAAATAAGGATTCCAATATCTAAATATGTATAAAAGTGAAATCTGAAAATGAATATTTTATTCTAAAAAATTGCTGAACTGAATCAAAATAATATTCAACCTGAAAAATGATTTAAAATACTTATTTTTATTTTGAATACATCATTGTATTTTTCAAAGTTCAGGATACAAACTTGAACTCTCAAATAAATTTTATTTTTTTGAATGATCAAAACTTATGACCCTGAAATAGCTTGCTATCTGACCCACTAGATGCAGGTCGTAGCATTTCTTTGAATCTCCCTATGAGGAGGCACAGAGGATGAGACATGTCTGGGAAGTGGAGGAAAAGTTGGCAGCGTTGCATATTTAATATACTGTATATGATCATGTCATCAGGGACGCTGGAGGACATACGCTGCTAAATAAACTCTGCAGGGTATCATAAACTATTTCTCCACGGTGCATCAGCGTGGAAGAAACGCTGACGTTACCTGCTAACATTAATGGGACCATTGTGAAAGAAATGCCAAACATGACAGAAGTGAGGTTGTTTTAATTGTGTTTTCAGCACAACACAAATTAAATCTGCGCTGTGACATGTCATTTTGAGTTTGTGCAAATGTACAACGTGCCACTGGGACACTAGGGGAGGCCAGCACAAAATGAGCGTCATAAACCATCAGGTGTAGGAATGTCCCCTGCTGGAAGCCATTACATTTACAAGGGTGACATTTGCATTTTTCTCCGGAAACAAATGAGAGGCAGTTTTTAGATCCATGGGACATTCCATAAATCCCATCAGCAAAGGTGTTTTAGTGGTCTTGAATAAAAATGAAAGCATTAGGAAGCACCTTGAATAAAACCTAAAGTAAAAAGCTGAGTTGGATGCTATTATAACACCGTCTTTAGAAAAAAGATATCAGATTTGCTCATATGTATCCTAATGGGAATCAAACCCAGGTGGTGAACTGTAGAATAACACGCTTTTCAGACGTCCTTACTTAGTGAAAGCATAAAAACAGCATGAGTGTGCCATGCACTTTTGACCTGGACTCAGCCTGCTGGATGTTTGTGGCCATTTCAATAATCCTCAACACCACAATTTACCTTCACACATTATTATTTCTGACAAGCCCTGCACTGCAGCTCTCTATTTTAGTACGGTACATTTCCTGGGGATTCACCTAAATAGAGAGAAACAACATAAGGAGGATAAAAAGAATAAGGAGAAGAAGAAGTGCAATAACAAGAATAATAGAAGAACAAGAAAAAGAAAGAAAAACAAGAAGTAGAAAGCGTCCTGCTGTACACTTTGTGCCTTCACAAAATCAACCTCAGCAGGGATTAAACCGGCAAACCTTCCAGTTACAAGTCTCTCTGACATTACACAGCGCTGCCGGGGGGAATCAGCCAGTAAGGCTGTAGCAGGAAGGAGAAAGCACGAGACTGATGGAAACTTCTGAAGCAATGGAGACAGGACTCAGAGGGACAGGAACTTTGATGGCAAACAAATGATGGTTTATTTGGAGCTTCGGTCGAATAATTCATGGCATGTGCTGAGCCACGAGGTGATACAGAGGATGCTCAAGCAATTCTGAGGAACTCTTCTGTAGTTCGAGGTTTGAACTAGTTCAGAGTGTAATAATCAACATTCCTCATCAGTGAGACTAAACAAATATGGACCCTGAATCTAACTAGAGCTGTCGTCCAAACAGAAAAGAAGGGCATCCAGATGTCCCTGAACATAAACATCTAATGGCAGCTTGTGCTCGGTCATAAGCTGGCATCAACAATGCGCCCAAGCTGCCCCTCCTTAAGAGAGATAGCAGCAATACCCAAGGGCGTAGACCTATGCCGTGGGAAAAGAGACAGTGAAAGGAGAAAACGATGAACTGTGTCAGAGGTTGAATACCGAAGCAAATGATTCCCTAACAGAGACAGAGAGTAAGGAGACTTACTTCTTGGGCCTGTAGTCGGGGATGTTCCGGTCCAGGGAGATGCGGTCGCTGAGCTGAGCGTTGTATCCGTACTCCTCGTATTTCCCCTCCACATCGAGACTGTCCTCCCCTAGAGTGGCAGCAGCCCCGCCCTGACCGAGACCTCCGGGACCCTCAACCAGACCAATGGGCTTCGCCAAACCTGCCATGAAAACGAGACAACTATCAATCATATTGCATTTTTATAGCCGAGCAAATTACTCATCTGTCTAGGGGGCTTTACAGTGTCTCCCTCTGTCCTTAGACCCTCACAGTGCACAAGGAATGACTCACAAAGTGCCAAGGGTTGAGACTAACTGACTGCAAGACTTAATCACAAGGACAGGTGGGGAGAGAAGAAAAACGCATTTTCCAAAATTACACAGAAAAACCCGAAAACTGGAAGAAACCTCGGAGAGAGCAACAGGAGGGATCCCAGAAGAGCAATAGCTGTTGTGTGTAGATTATAAAAGATGATACATTCAGACAAACAAAACACAAAAAGGAAATTATGACTGCACATGAAAAAGATGGATCCAGGAGGATATCAAAAATCTTTCAGTTGCCGACCAAAAAGTGTCTCAATCATAACTCATGATCCAGAAGTAACCTTCAAAACTAGCTTCCTGCCAGGTGAGAGAGAAAGTAGGAGAAGAGTGGTAACAGATTGAAGGTGAAAGGGGACAGTCTCCTGACAGTTAAAAACCTTTAAAGTGGCGCAGGAACGAGTCCTTAAACTCGGAAATGTGTTAGCATTTTAGTAAGATTCTCTTTCCTTCTTCTCGTAGTCAATGTTTTTTTAATTGTTAGGTGCCTGAAATAAGGTCTGTGGTAAAAACAAACTTAGAAGATACCACGCAAAAATGGTTGCTAACAAGTGTCTAAATGAGACGACTAAACATCGTCACGCCCAACATTAGCTTCCTTTAGCTTAGCGGTGGTGACTTGAAGTCATGTGACCGTGCTGTAGTTCCTTTATAGAGTGGCGAAGTCACGCCAATCTACTTCCGGTCCACGGGACCTTATTTCGGAAAAATAATGTATTGAAGTCAATGGAGAGAGAAAACTTATCTTTCGATCCCGTTTGAATTGTGCCACGAATTACACATATGATGTTTGTCAATCTTAAAAAATAATTTCCATGCCAAAAAGTCACAGTTTGTCGTAAAACTATATAAGACTATGAAAAATACGCAACTAGAAAGACTACAAATCCCAGAGTCGCGTAAGTGATGTCACGATTGTTTTTCTCCACTAAGAGATAGCTAAGATCAGCGCCATATAGATATAATCTATCTATATGGCGCTGGCTAAGATAAGATAACTTTAACAAGATGCCTGTGTGCTTAGTACCAGGCTGTTATCATACCAGCAATGGGTCTTGCTCGTTCTTTCGCTTCCCGTCTGATGAAAGGACCAGGAGTGGCTGGATCAAGTTAGCTACCTAGCTAGTAGCTAGCACGTTAGCTAGCATTACAGCCTTGTCATTTTGATGAGCCTTAACATGAAGTAACATTAAGTAACCCAAAATGTTAAACAGTGAGAGTAGTAGTTATATTTCGTGAACCCTTTGAAGAGTACTGTCACCGGTGTGATCAAATATTGTTCACAAATCTGAAAAAATCTGTGATCGTGAGCACTTCTCCTTTGCCGAGATAATCCATCCCACCTCACAGGTGTGGCATATCAAGATGCTGATTAGACAGCATGATTATTGCACAGGTGTGCCTTAGGCTGGCCACAATAAAAGGCCACTCTGAAACGTGCAGTTTTGCTTACCATAACCCCACCACCACCATGGGCCACTCGATTCACAACATTACCCTAACCCTACCCCTACCCCTCACACCAGATACTGCCTGGTTTTCGGACCCCCCCAGACCGCCCAGATAAAGCAAAAATGCACGTTTCAGAGTGGCCTTTTATTGTGGCCAGCCTAAGGCACACCTGTGCAATAATCATGCTGTCTAATCAGCATCTTGATATGCCACACCTGTGAGGTGGGATGGATTATCTCGGCAAAGGAGAAGTGCTCACTATCACAGATCTTTTCAGATTTGTGAACAATATTTGAGAGAAATGGTTATTTTGTGTATATAGAAAATGTTTTAGATCTTTGAGTTCATCTCATGAAAAATGTGAGCAAAAACAAATGTGTTGCGTTTATATTTTTGTTCAGTGTAATATGTTGAGATTATCCTGCTGGAATAACCTCTAAATATCATACGTGTGTTTCCTACAAATTCCCCCTGCAATCGTCCAAAATCCTTCACTCTATTGCAGCATATTTAGGGGCTGGTTCAAGGCGAGCCTGAGCTACAGCGAGACAATAACACATGTAAACATGGCCGTGTGTGGAGGCGGACACACAGAAAAGGGAGAGACAGGTGAGAGAAGCGGCTCTTCCTCCAGCAGTGTGAGGAGCTGAGGAGTGACGCAAGGGCAAACTCTGCAAGAGAAACTAGACGGAGGTTATAGAGCACAAGCAGCGGAGGAAAGAAGTATGTGGACTTTTGACTCTGAAAAAGTCATTTTTATGTAACGGCCCGTCCACACTACAGCTTCGACAGCTTCAAAAACGGTTTCCAACGCGTCTGCCCATTCACTTTGAATGGGGTTACGTCGCTTTTCGCCGAACTACATTGTGGGAAGCAGAGCGGAGCTTTCCTGGCGTTTCAGGCTGCAAAAGTTGAGCAATGTTCAACTTTTGAAGCTTCTGAAGCTTTCGGTGGAAGCGTCAGCCAATCAAATCATATGCCAGTACAAGCTCTAGCCAATCAAACCGCTGCTTGTGTGTCAGGGGCGTGATATTCATGTGATTGGTTGTTGGTCGAGCTTCAGACACGCTCAGCTCCAAGCTTTTTTTGAAGCTGTAGTGTGGACGGGCCGTAACTGTACTTAAACAAACATAATTTCAAGTTTCAAGAACCAAAGTCACATGATGCCTTGTGAAACTTTATGAGATGGTAACTATTAAGGTAAGTTTAAATCTACCTTGTTCTTTTTTTTTTTACACGTTTTGAAAGGACTGGACTGCATTTTACAGACAAATGTTTACTGAAGATGTTTAAAAAAAAGTGGACTTTTTGAGTCTGATCATCGTTAGTGGACTGTGAAATTTGGGAAAGATGTATTTTTAATGTATGCCATGTTGTACTCCCTTAAAATATTTTGAACTGTGGTGCAATGGTAGAACACACTGATCCTGTTTGCATCATTCATGTGTTGGATGTACTGTATCTCGTGACTTGGCTGTCAGCCCTAAATAAGTAACAAAATATTCTGGAAAAACTCAGATGTTGAAACTGTCACATCTGAGCAGCTGCAGTGGAGGAGAATCTGCAGCAGGAGGTCACAGAGGAGACGCTGCAGTCAGCTGACACACTTTCTATTTCACCTGCAGAGTGTCAGGTTGATGCGGTCGTAGGACAGCACAAACAAATGCACAATTAAATCAAATTAAATGTCATTATATGAATGTATAGTCAGAATTATTGTTCTTCGGCATGATTAAAAATCAACCACAATGAACCACCATAAGTCAATATTTAATAAAATCAGGGTCCCTATTATACTTTATGCGGTTTTCCTTTTCCTCTTGTGTGTTATATAGGTTTGTGTGAATGGAAATGGAAATTGAAATACAGTCTTCTACCAACACTAGCAATTTAAAAGTCTGATATTGTCACTACTATGCCTGCTGTTGATGAGTGAAGGACATTTCTGAACCCTGCTGTTTTCCCATTGTCAGTGTTGACTGACATAATGTCGTACAATGCTGTCAGCACGTCATTTACAGCAGATCGTATAAATGTTTTGTAGTTGTCAATTCAGTTATAAGTCTCTCTGTCGTTAAAAATACAGACGACACTACGACATGAAATTATAAAAGCTGGTACTGGGAGATGTTATCCATAGTTTATACTATATATATATTGGGAAAAGGCAATTGATAGGGAACATAAGATCCTATAGCATAATCAAACAGGCGGGAAAACAAAGAGACAGGAAGTACAAACAGACATAAGACAGGGAGTGTCCACATTTCAAAATAAAACATGAAACACGAGCAGATTGTCAAACGGAAAGTTGTGAAAATTAAATAAAACTTTAATTTTCTCAGTATATGTTTCTCCCAACTAAGTGTAGTTTTCGTTCTGGTGTGACAGGATGATAAGCATTTGGATTTAAACCAAGCAGTCCTACAGAGACCTTAAGTCCAACAGGGAGCCACCAGATGTTTAGTGAGCCCTGATGGTTCTGTGTGGCTCATTAAAGCATCATGGAAGCACCGTAACCTTGAAGTGGTCGTTCAAGCAGGGCTGGTGCCATGAACGTCCTTTTATCCCACAAGGACCCCTGAAGAGAGGCAAGACTGTCTATCTGTGCACTAATGGTGGATTAAAACCAGTCTTAGTTTGGCCCAACAAATCCAGCATCAGATTTAATGCGTTGGATTTAAAATACCTGTATGTTCTCGTTAAAGTGTTATATAGGTCTTTGTGTATGTAAATGGTGTGCAAAATCCCTGTGTCCTAAGGGGCAGGACATCTCTAAGCGGTTGACGAATCACAACAGAACCGGCCAGCGAACCAATCAGAGCAGACTGGGCTCTGGTTTCAGACAGAGGGTGAAAAGAGGTGCTGCAGCACAGGCAGTATGAGAACAATAAAGAACTTTTGAACATTAAGCCTGGAGACATGTAGAGACTACACTACATACTGATATACACCTGAACCTCGCAGGAGAGGACTCTTTAAAGTAGAGACACACTACATACTGATATACCACCGTCGAACATCAGCAGGAGAGGACTCTTTAAAGAGAGACCACTACATACTGATCTACACCTGAACATATCAGGAAGGAGGATCTTTGAAGTAGAGACCATAATACTGATATACACTGAACATCAGCAGGAGAGGACTTTTAAAGTAGAGACCACTACCATACTGATATACACCTGAAAAATTCAGCAGGGGAGGACTCTTTAAAGAGCGAGACACTAAATACTTGATATACCACCCTGAACATTCAGCAGGAGAGGACTCTTAAAGTAGAGACACTACATACTGATATACACCTGAACATCAGCAGGAGAGGACTCTTTAAAGTAGAGACATATACTGATATACACCTGAACATCAGCAGGAGAGGACTCTT